GCCGTCAGTCGTTCTCTGCTGCAAATGTAATATTTGAGCAAGTGCACATTACATGTTGGATCAAATAATGTGAAACTATATTTTTTTATTATCGTACAGTTTTGAACTGGTCTAGTTCCCAGGTTGGATTAATCTTGAATATATGAACCACCATTCCTAGAACTCCACCCTGCCTGCTTCTCACTTACGGAACGCCATTAGTAGCATAACTTAAAATCTCATCGCTCTACATACGCTTGTGAATTTGTCGTTCTCTGGATATGACGATGTTAGAACGAACAAATATCCTTAGTTTTTTTTTCATTGTTTTGAAGTCAACAATTGTATACGTCAATGTAATGCGATCTGTATCTATGCATGTTGAGAGAATCGTAGTTCCACACAGTTTTTTTTTCGATTCTCTAGATCGATTATCTTCTAATTGAATGATCCACTCCCTTTTTTAATGGTTTTATCATACAAAAAAAAGATGTAGTGGCATATTGTCGAAATAGTGACACCTAATGCACGTAGCCCTGATACACTCCTTTGCTGCATGGGCCAAACTGGGTCGGAATGAACCCACACAAGGGCCGAAAGTGCATCACTGTTAAGGCAAGGCTTCCTCATTTCCTTAGGTGCAAGCCAAAAATCTTCCCCAGCAACTTGCAGCGCGCTGTTGACGAAATGATGTCAAATTCGAACCCATCGTAAAACCAAGTAAAGTTTCGTCAATATTTTTCGTTGAGCTTTTTTTGTTGTTGGAAAGACGTTTTTGGATTCTGCACGCTACATACAAGCATTTACAAGCGTTATTATGTCGACTCCGCTCTTGTAGCAGGCTACTTACATACTAGTATCCCGGTGCTCTATCCAATTTAGGTGACAGAAGAACAATATTGATCGTCTTTGATCCTGCTAAGTGTGTGTAACGGAAGTACAAAGGTAAATATGCCTTTGATATTTGCCGAGTAAATATAGCAATGGTAGGAGGGCAGCCGCGGCAGCGAGAGGACTGCGAGTGTTGAGGGCGAGGTTGTGACGTAAGTTCTGACGTCACGGCGTCACTATCCCTCTCCTCTCCCTCTCCTCTCCCTCTCTTTCTCTCCCCCTCACGCTGCTGCTGCTGCTCTCCCTCGTGTGTCTCTCCCTCTTTTCCTCGCCTGCTGCACCCTGCAGCGTCGGCTCTTCCTCTTGCTTGCCTGTGCATCAGTACCGCCATCCCTGGCTGCCCTTCGTCTTCGCCATGCCTTCCTCTTTATTTCTTTATCAAAGACATTGATTGTTTTACACATTTCAGCATATTATATTTATTTCTATTCTTCGCGTACAAATCTTAAGTCAATCTAATGAGATGCAATAGTTCTCATTAGACTCTCTTGAATCCAGAACTATCAGCAATTGCATGATTTTTTTTAGTTTTTTTCATGTCATGAATTGTCGGGAGAAATCGATCGACTGTGGCATTATCATCACACGTCTTCGAGCAACGGATCAAAAGCTCAGTTTTGTTTTGCTGCGGTATATCGTTACCATATAAATTCTGCTTCTGTGGTCCTCTAATGCCACCATCAAAGCTTACAGTTTATTCACACTGCCATTTGTCCTCTCGAGAATTTTGCTCTCTACACATTCATGCTTATGAAAGATTCAGGCCTGAAAAATTGTTAGAAGGTTTTCCTTACCAATTATTGAATTATTGGTGTGTCTACTGTATCTATATCAGTCATGCCAGTGATGACATTAGGTGAAATACAATGTAACCCACTAGCTGAAACCTTTTAATGATTGGACTCTATCTCATCATTTGTTTTCTTCTCTATTTTTCTTCACACTATTCACTCCAACACCAGGCCCGTGCTATGAAAAGCAGTTACGAGCTGTTATAATTTGGCTAAATCCGCCTGCCATATTAGGACGGTTTAATCGCATGACATCGGCCGCTTCGTGTACCTATGCTAGGTATGGGAGTATAACTCCAGAGCAATTTAAAGTCTGTGCAGAGCCATCACGCCTTTCATTGCATTAATTATGTCTATCTTTAGATGATACGAGACCAAGGTGACTGTTTGGCTTCGTTCAGCTTAGCTTTTTTTCGTGTTTAATTTCTACGGACGCGCGTCACACTTAGTGTGTTTATTTATTTCACTACATTTATTACTGTCGGTAAGATGCATCTAAGCTGGTGTCGGTTCATCTATGGTACTTATGCAGGTTAGGTTCATCATTTACTCGCCCTTCGAGAGCAAGGTTATAGTCCTTCAGCGTGGACTATAACAAAGCGTTTGTTGTTGGTTCTCTTCGCCTAGGGTGCGAGTAAGGCGCAAGAATTTATTGTTATTTCGAAATCATTCTCGTATATTTATTACAGCTCGTGCCCAATACTAGTATGATCTGGAGTCATGTGGCCACAAAGAATAGGTTCTGCGGGCACCCACAGGAGTACGAGCGTGGGGGTACAAGTACAGCATCCTGCTGCTCATACGGGGCATACAGCTTCCTTTATTGCAGCACAGCCTCCATCTAGTCTCTCTCCATCCCTCTCGTCTCTCTCTATCTCTCTTGTATCATTCTCCATTACTCTTGTATTAGGTACTTTCCAGCTCTCTTGTATCACTCTCCATCCTTCCCTTTCGTCTCTCTCTCTCGCCCTCTTTCTCATTAGTCTCTGGTGTGTTCAGCTTCATAATCTTTCCGTGATCGATGCAATAAAAATTTAGTCGCATTTATTTATTTTTTATGAATGATCGCGTAATTCTTTTCCCCTTGTCAAGGTACGAACGTTTCATGATTGACTGGAAAAACGTATGCGGCTGCTGTTCCTTCGACTGAAGTAACACGCAGATTTAGAAATCTTGGAAATATCGATAAGCTAAAAAGCGTGGACTAAAACTTTGAAGGAAATACTACCTGCTGATTTGTTTTGATGTCCTGATTAGTAAGCGAGATTTTCAACCAGATTTACGATGTTATGTTTTTTTTGTATGCATCAAATGTCGTTGCAGTATTACTTGTTGGTTTCCTTTCTGGTTTCATGTTGTATGCTCTGGGCAAATAAGAAAGCTGCAAATGGCACAATGGTATAGCGAATCACGAAGACGGCGAATTGATTGGTTCTCTGCGATTGTAGCTATCTGTGTGACGGAGACGAGACTTAATTTTATTTCGTCCTAGAATGATATAAGTTAATTTCGTCGTAATTGATCCATGGATTATCGTCACTCAGCATGTGCCCTATGGAGGTATCGTTGTTATTATCAGTAATCTAATCGAAGTCTGCGATTAATTTCTTATCTGATTTCCTTCTGACGTCAGTCCAGTTGTTTTACGATGACCACGCTTCTAAGGCACGTCATTATCTCGAATGATTAAATTCTTCCTAAATTGAATCATCAGTTTTCATATTACCTCAGTTTTCATGAGAAAAAGTAAGTTGTTGTAGGTTTATTCTAGGACAAACTTGGTATGTTATTGTAATATAAAAAAGGTCAACAGTAAATAGATGTTTTTTTTTGTTTAATAAATGTTAATGTCGCTTACGTCATCTTTAAATTCTAAATTTTGAGAGGGAGGTTAGCAGGCTTCAACCATTCGTCCACGAGTGTATAGTTTGGTGTCGAAATGACCGCATTATGATTAACAACAGATCTAAAGATTCCGAATACTGTGCATGTTTGTATGATCGAGTTATTTTCATTCTAAACAATGTTATTGGCTTCAGCTTCCAAGAATTGATACCATTTTATCCTCATCTTTGGATTGTCTTCCTTACCGCGAAATGAATGCCAAGACCGCATTCGAAGTTCAATTCACCAATTCATAAAACCTCGTGGATCTTTAAATCTGAGAGTGTTTTGAAGGAACGCATTTTGCTCGCGTGGCAGTATGCTCTCAGAAACGTACGACTTGTTCAAATTGATGGTCTTTCTATTCGGGCTACTCATCATATATTATGGCATCACAGTTCTTGTAGAATGTAGAGTCTTTCAACAGTTATTCGAGTGAGTGTAAACGCGTTGATGCAGGGTAGTTTAGGAGGGAATATGGGTGTGATGAGAAGAAGTAAGTCCAGCAACTTCATTATAGTTTGATGACCGTGAATCGCTGCCTCTGGAGTACACGAGGTTCAGTTACGCAATTTGCTCTTCATGTTGATCTTTGAACGGGTTGTTTAACACTTGTCGAACCTCATAGGTACAAGTGTATATATTTACACTAGGTACAATTATAACAATGTTAATTTATCCAGCAAGTTGAAGATTAAAAAAGAGACGACTAGTTGTATGGTGTTTGGTTGAGCTAACCAGCATGTTGTGCTTGGGACTCTAGAAGGTATTTAGCGATTTAAAGCGCTTGAATTTTAAGGTTGCATCCTTTAATTTTGAATTAACTTGAGTTTTTATAACACTTGAGAGGTTTTTCAGCTTACCACCTGAGCTACATGAACGCGTTATTAAGATGGCTACGCTTGTCCACTGTCTTCGACTACAATATTCACACCATGCTTAGAGTTTGTCATCCATTTTGTTACCGTTGTTCTGCTATAACTGATTACCTGTTGACAAACATATTAATTACGGATCTCTGTTTATAATCATTATTTTCGCAATACCTCCCGGAATCATCTCGGTATTACGAAGCTCGTCTGATAATAGTGACGCTATATATAGTTGTTGGTCACAACGGTTACTGCAGTTTCCAGCGCGACGGCTTCACTCAAAATAACTTAATCTAGACTAATTTGTTAGTCCAGATTGAGGAAATGATTGATTGATTGATTCTAGGAAATGTTCTCAATAACTTCTAGAACATTTCCCTCTTTCCTTTTTCCCCAAGGGTGATTTTTATTGATTTAAACTAAGCGTGGATTAACGCTGCTGAGCGCTGTAGCCTCAACTGGGTCAAGCGATTAGCAGCTAGACATCTGATATGAAGACCTTATCTATTTTATATGTTCGTTGAATATATTTTCCCTGCAGCTGTGTTTTATTCTTTATATTAATTTGTAATTTCTTTTACAGGATGCTCGCAAAAATGCTCTCGACACGACACTGGTCCAGGCCACGACGGGCATGGACCCTATTGGCCGAATCCAGATGCGAACCCGGAGAACCCTTAGAGGGCACTTAGCCAAAATATACGCCATGCATTGGGGCGAGGACTCCAGGTCAGTTTGATATTGGACACACCTTTCTTGAGTTGACACGTCTTTCTTGAGTTTTGGGCCACCTTTCTTGAGTTTTGGACACATCTTTCTTGAGTTTTGGACACACCGTTCTTGAGTATTGGACACACCTTTCTTGAGTTTTGGACACACCTTTCTTGAGTTTTGGACTCACCTTTCTTGAGTATTGGACACGCCTTTCTTGAGTTTTGGGCCACCTTTCTTAAGTTTTGGACACACCTTTCTTAAGTTTTGGACACACCTTTCTTGAGTTTTGGACACACCTTTCTTGAGTTTTGGACACATCTTTCTTGAGTTTTGGACACACCTCTCTTGAGTTTTGGACACACCTATCTTGAGTTTTGGACACACCTTTCTTGAGTTGACACATTTTTCTTGAGTTTTTGACACACCTTTCTCGAGTTTTGGACACACCTTTCTTGAGTTTCGGACACACCTTTCTTGAGTTTTGGACTCACCTTTCTTGAGTTGAGGACACATTTTTCTTGACTTTTGAACACACCTTTCTTGAGTTGAGGATACACCTTTCTTGAGTTTTGGACACACCTTTCTTGAGTTAAATTTGTCCAACTAAATGTCGCCTTTAAGGTGTAGGGGAAGAGACAATCCGGTGTAGATGGCGGATCGTTTGTTTGCTTCAAAGTACAACAATGGCCTGAGAGAGAAACTGGTGTTGTTTAAGTGTAAAATTCATGTGAAGTGGCAACTAGTCTCATCTGTTATCACGTGTTGAACATGGATTTTAAAACGGATTTACAAAGTATTTCTATGACAATGGAGGAAGAACTTCTACTGCACACATGCTACTGCTACACTAATTGCTACATTGCATACGCTGCCACTGCTACACTACACACGCTGCCACTGCTACACTACACACGCTGCCACTGCTACACTACACACGCTGCCACTGCTACACTACACACGCTGTCACTGCTACACTACACACGCTGCCACTGCTACACTACGCACGCCAGACGTAGGGTGTAGCGTCGATGACAAGCAAGGAAGCTGTGCGTACACATGAGCTAATAATACGAGCGGCATCTAAACACTGCAGCAGCGCCTGCCTCAACTGCGTGATACTGCGTTGCTACATCGCCTACTGCACCGCTGCATTCCTTACTACGCCATGGAATAGTCTGAATGCTTTGTTAAATTGTGAACAACACTGGAATATGAAGCCGCTGTTTTTTGTTTTAGGCGTTTGCCCCGAATGATAAGCAAATTTTCCAGCTATATGTGATATATGGCCTAGTGAAGAGCACACGGTGCTATACGGTCTAGTAAGGGGTATATGGCCTAGGCAAGGACCACACGGTGATGTATGGCCCAGTGAAAGGCCACACGGTGATTTATATTTATAGCGTACTGAAGGATCACACGGTAATATATGGCCTAGTCAAGGGCCCATACAGTGAGGCATGGCTTTGTTAAGGGCCACACGGTGATATATGACCTAGTGAAGGGTTACGCGATGATATATGGTATAATGAAGAGCCATACAGTGATGTATGGCGTACCGTAGTGAAGGGAGATCGCGCGGGGATCATGCTACGTGAATTTTATTTCAAATCGTTGGATATCGAGAAAAAACACCAAGATCGCAATCAGAACTCCAAAAGTGACATTTTGTGTTGACACCTTACTACCTACCTGTCGTTGAACAGATAATTTTTCTCCCAATGTAGACTCAGGGCGATAACTCACTAGTACTATTTACGGGGAATACTAATATTTATCTGGAGCGGACGACCACCTTTGCTGAGCTTTGGCAGCAACATCTCCCTCTAATACCGTGAATGCATTGCTAATTTGCAATCTCCCTTATGAAGAAAGCTTCGCTTAATATAGAATTAATTCACAGGATAAAAACAAAATCGGATGGAAGTATGAGCCAATCGGGTAGCTCAAGGCCGCAAGTGTAAGGTTTCTCACTGTCGCTACTCGGTCGTGAATATTTAGTTTCAGATGTAAAGTATGGACAAAATATTCAAGCGAACCTTGCGCATGTTAGGCATACCAGGCACGGATACGCTCGAAACCACACATATCAAACGATATCTCCCCTCTGCCCAGCAAACAACAGTGCACGGCTTCAGTATATAGCACAACAGCCCATGGCAAACGCGTCGTTACATACACATGAGAATACAAGCCATTCAGATGGGGGGCCCGTTCTGAATGTATGGTGTAACACACAAATACCGGCACTTGCCATGAAAACATTGACTCTCATAGTACACTTACAAACTTACAAAAATGAATGGGTCATGTTGTTGTTTAAATATTGATTCATTTTCTGCGAGTTTTCTCTGATGCGTGGCCATATTGTTGGGCTAAACTGGGTCAGGACGACCCACGCAAGGGCAAGAAATGCATCACTATTTGAACAAGTATCGCACATTTCTCTGACTGCAGACTCTCATTTGTGTCAACGACCTAAATACGGTAATAAGAACTATGAACTGCAGAACGCAGCGCGTTGGCATACGATTGGCTGTCGAAGGTATATATACAGGCTATTTATAAATACTCATGACGACAGATTTTCATGCTTGGCTCAGTCATATCAGCTGCTCTATGCGTGCCGTTAACACTTAATTTCGGCAGCTAGTTTTGTGAAGGATAATGTGTTGGTTTACACCAGAACACTTTCATTGTGCTCTCCCATACATTACAAGCAACAAGAGAAAAAGATAGTTACAGTAGCCGGGTTTGCTGGCAATAGAGGCTTTCGTGTGCTGCAGCAGCCTATAGCGTAAACAAAAACTTTTGTTGAACCTAATCTTTGTGTTACTTTGTAGTGGTGTTAACGAGAGTGAGTTTGTCAATTTGATGAAAAAATTGCTAGTTGCTGCAACTCTGGCCTGTATTTGGCACTTATTGCTAGCTTGGCAACATTTATACCCTGAATCTGTGGTAAGAAGAATGATGCACCGACAGCTTCACTGCAGCACCGAAGTCTTCCTCCCACGTCAAGCTGCTCGTGCCAAAGCTGTTATCGTACCGAGTCCCGCCTTATCAACATCTGCCGCACCTTATCAACATTTGTCCATCCTGACCGCCTCCAACTTGCAGCGTTCCGAGTTGCCATCGTTCAGCACGGAGCCGCTTGTCTCTGACGCTAATGCTACTTCGAAGAATCTTATCTATTATATGGGGGTTTCTATGATGAAAATTTCTCAATTGTTTCCATGAAAGAAATTCCAACACAAAGCAACGCTTTCGCATGCGCAAATAAAAACAAATGTCTTATTCTCAACAATGAGGTTGACCGTTGATGAGCTGCCGAATTTTGGCTCTGGAAAATTTCGAGTGTGGAACGATCTGGTAAAAGAGGGTAATATTTTTCACCTGACCCGTGCAGTCTGAGAAACAAATGTGTCAAACTGTCCAAATGGCAACAGGCATTATCACTCTCTTCTTGATCAGCGAGCATAGAGCTGACGTAGCACTGATACGCCCTTTCGATGGGCCAAACTGGATCGGGACGACACAAGCAAGGGCAAAAAGTGCATCGGAATTTGGACAACCTCACTCGTTAATCTAAGTTTGCAGTTTGATATGGGACGTGCGCTGTCATTTACACCTCTTCGCGCACTATAATGTACTATTTGAAGTACCGTAACTGGTTATGGTTCTCAAAGTTTTATTAAAATACTCGAGTATACCAATTCACATATATTAAAATACTTAGTGTGTGGATAGGTACGAGACCAATGTACCTCGTACCTTTGTTGCATCGTGCTTTTAATATCTAATAAAACAGGTTCATACAATTACGATCTGTCGTCTAATAATCGTAATTGTTTATAATAAAAGATATGGTAGACCCTCTTAATGATCTAAATAGGTTGCTACTATACTATTCTGTTGCGTCAGTCGGGGGCTTCTCTCTTAATTCCTTAACGTTGATCTTTACTAAAAAAAATTGTTGAAGCTGAACGAGAATAGACGTTTATTCTCCCATGCTATGACATAAAAGCTGCCTTTTAAAGTAGTTTCTATGACGCCAATTGTAGCTAAATGCTGACTACGTAAAAAATACTGGGTAATTCGCTTTAGTTTGAGTTACGTGAGCTTCTTTTTCTGCGTCTCGCTCTCTTGGGCTGTGGCTCGCTCTCTTCTTATAAATGCGAGAACCATGCGGCGGCCGAACCTCATGTATTTCCCTTGTTATTTCGTGTCTCGCTATTTTATATCCAATGCTTCCCTCGATATATCGTGATGAGCAGTTATTTCTCCAGTCATACAATCCACACGTCGTACAATTTTTTAGTTCATATTCTCTATTTCTGTAGTATCGTCACATGCATTTAAGCTGTACCCAAGGTGATGAACGGTCTCTATTGACATCCGATTAACGTTGCTCATTTCTTTAATAATTGATACTAGAACAAAATTTCTCGATTCTTTCATGAATTACCACTTGTGTGTTGGGATTGAACAGTCACTGGATGTGATGACTGACGTGCCATCTAATTCCTTCCTTCTGCCTGTTCCTTCCTTCATCCCTCCTGCCTGTCCCTGCTTCCCTTCTACCTGTTCCTGCCTCCCTCCTGCCTGTCTCTGCCTCCCCCTGCCTGTCTCTGCCTCCCTCCTGCAATTCTGCCTTCCTCCTGCCTGTCCTTTCCTCCCGCCTGTCCTTTCCTCCTGCCTGTCCTTTCCTCCCGCTTGTCCATTCTTTTCTCCTACCTGTCCCCTTCCTCCTATTTGTCTCCTCCCTTACTCCCTTCTACCTGTCCTGTCTATCCTGAAGGTCCCTTCCTCCCACCTGCCTATCCCTTCCTTCCTCCTGTTTGTCCCTTCATTTCTCCTGCCTCGCTCTCCCTCTGCCAAGAAATGTTGCTTGAAAGTACGCAACACTATTTCCCCTCTGCCCAGCTAACAACAGTGCACGGCTTCAGTATATAGCATAACCAGTATAGCATTCGGTATAGGCTTCAGTATAGAGCGAAGTTCAAATTCAAAATGGCTCTATTCGTGAATAATTTTTGTTGTGTATTTGCACGCGCAACGATTTCTACGTTTTACCAAACAATTATCAGCGTTTCCGGTGTTTTGATAGCTCTTTATCTTCTCCCGTCCGAGACAGTTGAAATTTTCCTAGACAGCAAGAGAGATCAACTGCTGTGTTTCATGCTGCAATGAAAGAAAACAACTATTGAAGTAAAACTCGGTTGGCTGACATTCTAGTTTCAGAATTGAATTTACTTGTTCGAGCAGTGTTCATACTTTATCAAAAATTTTTCATACATTTTCGAGAAGTGTTCATGCTTTTTTCAGAATTGTACAATTGTACATACTTCTGGCTCAAAAAGTATCAATAGTACTTCTTCGAGTACCGTAGTGTTAATACTTATTGGAGAAGTGTTTATCCGAGTATGAGAAGCTTTCATCCTAGTTGTGTTCATCCATGTTCGAAGGCCTTCGAGTTTTAGAGCCATATTCCACGAGCCTCATCATTCGGCTGTAGAGCCATAAGAAATATTTGCGAGGCAGTCTCTGCCTTCTACGAAAAAGTGTCAACAAGTGTTCGCAATGAAAACAATTGCTTGGGTATACCGCACTGAAAGTCTTACGCGTTGTAACACATTAGTAAGACCTAACAGTCATAGACTATCCGCAGCCTTCGCAGCAGCGTATCCTTTGTTGTGCCAGTGTCACATCCTCTGTTCGCTCCACATCCTCTGGCTGAGCAGCTCTGCCACATCAGCACTCCAAAGACTGTTTTCTCTCTCTCTTCTCGGCCACATGAACGCTTTCATCAATAATATCAGTTTTGATCCTGACGAATGGTGATTAGATAGCCGGAAACAAATACTAATAACCGTCATGCTTACGCCTTTTATTGACCAAATTCATACGTTTCGTCGTTTCGATAAGTTTCAAGCTCGAATTCATGTACCTCAGTCATAATGTTGGTCACAATAAATTTTTTGTCGCGTACTATCTTACAAATCTATGCGACCATTCTACTTTATTACATTTGCTCACTTCGTATCAAAAATTGAACGTCAAGTCGTCTTACTGTCTGGCTCAAAGGATCAGTTTGGATGCGTAATTATGTCGCAGCTGCTTTAATTCGTTATATGAATTTAGTCTTCCAATTAACTCTTGTACTGTTGATATTTTTATTGGTATGAGAACCTCGGGCAAGAATTATTATTATTTGCATGCGACTTGAATCTTTACTTGGAAAGGTTTATTTTTATTGTAAATTTTGTAGTATAATTTACTAGCAGTCTGCTAGCAAGCAGATTGTGGTTTGTTGACAATTTAGTGAAGGAAAATTCTACATTTTACTCTTTGGGAAAGATATCTGATGATTATTGAGCTCTGCTGTGCCAATACTCAGCTTAAAATTGCAGTCGTGTTTGTCTATCTATAGATGTAGAATACTATTTTTGTACAAAATATTTCCAAATCTGTTTAAATTCAATGATATTATTTGATTGCAGGAACTTGGTGAGCGCGAGTCAGGATGGCAAGTTGATCGTGTGGGACAGCTACACCACCAACAAAGTTCATGCCATCCCGTTACGCTCGAGTTGGGTTATGACTTGTGCCTATGCTCCTTCAGGCAGCTTCGTGGCTTGTGGTGGACTCGACAACATCTGCTCCATATACAGGTGCGCTATTGGGGGTCTAGCATCTGTTCCTGCTACTAGTTGGGCTAATGGGAACCCAGCATCTGTTCCTGATACTGGTTGGGCTAGTGGGAACCCATCATCTGTTCCTTCTGGTTGGGCTAGTGGAAACCCAGCATCTGTTCCTGATACTGGCTGGGCTAGTGGAAACCCAGCATCTGTTCCTGATACTGGTTGGGCTAGTGGAAATCCAGCATCTTTATGTCCCTGGTACAGGTGGGGCAAGTGGGATCCTAGTATCTCTTCCTGGTACTGGATGGGCTAGTGGGACACTAGCAAATATCCGATCCTTGGGCAGGTTGGGAAAGTGGGATCCTAGCTTCTGTTCTTGGTGTAGGTTAGGCTTGTGGTATCCTAGTACGGGTTAGGCTAGTGGGATTCTAGCATGTTTCAAGTGATGACACACACACATAATGGGCGAGTGGAATCCTAGCATCTGTCTGCTCCTAGTGCAGGTTAGGCTGGCTATTGGGATCCTAGAATCTCAGCTTTTTGAATTCGGCCAGAATACTAAATGCTCGCTGCTTTCGTGGCAACTTTAAAGTCAGCGACTTTGATTCATCTATTTCCTTCGCTTATGTTATTAGGAATACATAGTTACTTGCAGGATTGATTCACCGACGCAACGGAAACAAAGAACGTCAGATTTCTTCGGTGTTGATGCCATCATAAATGTTTGTATATAAGTTCTGGACCATACAATTTCATTTGAGGTCAAAATAATTGATTAATGTAACTAAAATTAAACAATTGATTAATGATATTGGTGATATACTCAAATCTTCAAAATATCATGATCGTACTTTGTTCTCAATCTGTTAGTAGTATATTTTCTATTAATTTAAGTCATTTGCAAATACCTAGGTATTGAACAGTTGGATTTTCTCTCAAATAATGTTTACTTATTTTTAATGGTTGCGAAAGATCTCCTTGTCGTGCATATATGCCATGCTTTCAGGTCCTCATTGATTGCTTCTTTTGCAGCCTGAAGACCAAAGAAGGAAATGTCAAAGTAAGCCGTGAGCTGCCGGGACACACAGGCTACCTCAGCTGCTGTCGTTTCTTAGATGATAGTCAGATAGTGACCAGCTCGGGAGACATGACTTGGTGAGTCAAGCTCTACTGAATTCTGTTCATCTTTAGTCACTGTGGATAACTTGGCCGTATTTATTTTACCCATTCAAACAATCATAATGTGACCTCATCAACCTAATTAGATTGATAAGCATCTTAGTCGCTACGATATTTTTAATAAATGAGATGGATATATGTACCCTAATGAGTGGCTAAACTTACTTGTAGCGTCCACACTTCCTCTTCTAGTCTAACCAGGGAATACTGTAAGGTTGGAGCACATTTTATTACAATTTTACTCCATGTAAAGGTATTGTAACTTCTTGGATGGATTGCAGTGCGCTCTGGGACATCGAGACCGGGCAGCAGTGCACGCAGTTCACAGGCCACACCGGGGACGTGATGTCTCTGTCGCTGTCGTCCACACTGCGCACGTTTGTGTCGGGCGCATGTGACGCCTCAGCCAAACTCTGGGACATAAGAGACGGCGTCTGCAGGCAGACCTTTCCGGGCCACGAGTCAGACATCAACGCCGTCACCGTCAGTGCCTTCTTATATTTCTCCTGCATCCTCTTCGTTTTATGAAGAGTATCCTTTTAGTTTTTACGTTTTAGTTTTATCCTTTTCGTTTCCTCCAGCGCTATCTTCACCTTCTTCAATGCTCATTTTACCTCCTGTGCTCTCCATTTATTCTCCAGTAGCCACGTTCAAATGTGGTTTCAAAATGCCATTTCTAGACTTTGTTGTGTATAGTTGTATTTGAATTTTCAGTTGATTTAAAAAATTGAAAGTACATTCATGAAAGTACATTCTGAAGAAGTGGAATCATTCCATGGGTTGTATATATAGGGTTATTAGTATATAACTGTTAGGTAAACTCTGGTACCTTACACCTGGCCTCTGCTACAGTTCTTCCCGAACGGAAATGCGTTCGCCACGGGCTCAGATGACGCGACTTGTCGCTTGTTCGACATCCGTGCGGATCAGGAGCTAGCAATGTACTCGCACGACAACATCATCTGCGGCATCACCTCAGTCGCCTTCAGTAAGAGCGGTCGTCTGCTTCTTGCGGGCTATGATGACTTCAACTGCAACGTCTGGGACTCGATGAGGACTGAGAGAGCTGGTCAGTTCTCGCCGAATATATATACTTCTTTTTATCTAACGAGTTGGTGAATGTTCTGTGCTAGTTAAGTTCATAGGAATAATATTTTTATATAAAGAAAAATTACAAAAAGGACATTTTTGTTAATGATTTGGACAGTTCGAATATATACCCTGGCCATAATAAGATTGATTAGAGTCGGCAGAGTTTGGGTAGTTCATTTTTTCGATCCGATCTCTAATTTTTTCCCAGACCTCGGTATCAGTTGCCTTATTAAGTGCAATATGGCTGCGTATCACTCATGCATTACTTATAACTTGTAAGCAATGAAAATATTGGTTGCAAATGTTAATTCTCTCGTTAATTAATTAATTGAAATAGTTGTCGTCCGTATAGATTATTACAAATATCTGTTCTAATTGTTCTATTATTATATTCTAAAGTTTAATTCTCGCATCAGGGTAACACTTCAGCACAAACCTAATTTTGTTTGAACCTCCTTGTCAGTACGTATAAAGTTTGGTCTGTATATTTGAATGAAATAACAACGCCATCTATGTAAGCAGTGATTACAATATATCAATTTTATTAAAACGGATAGAATTTCTGAAATGATCTGATAACACAGGAGTGCTGGCTGGCCACGACAACCGAGTCAGCTGCTTGGGAGTGACCGAAGACGGCATGGCTGTAGCCACGGGATCATGGGACAGCTTCCTCAAGATCTGGAATTAAGTGGACCTTCATTTTCCTTCTTCAAGACCTTAAATTGATTGATGTCCTTGCCGACTTCCATCTAGTTTGAGGACATGCTCGGTTGCTCTCATAGAGAATGAATAAAATATTTGGCGATATATGCAAAAAAAAACTGTAAATATCGTGGTAGGTTTCTTCTTTACATTGGAATCAAGAAAATGAACGAAAGAAGAGCTTGTTTAAAATTCAAGATCCGTTGCTGTGAATTTTTTTATGAACAAAGTTATTCCTGAAGAACACATATTTGCTACTGAAAATGTCGATTGTTAAGACGCTCTTGGTTCAGTTTTACGTCATCATCGAAGACCTGGCGCGCTGATAGTTAGGAGAGGATAAGCGATTGAAGCGTGGCTTGTGTGACTCAGTAGCCCATGCGTGGCTGAGATGCTCGTGCAATAGTTCCCGCTGCTAACATGGGGCTGCGGGCAACACTCGTGGAATAGATGAGGCATCATTCCTTCTAGCCATTTCTCTTCCTCTCGCCGCACAGCCGCGCCTTGCACGCCTTCATGGTTTATCTGTATAAAATCCTGTAAATGTTTTTTCTTATTTTCGTACTGATATGAGGAGCTCTTTTCCTATTTTTGTTACATTCCTGTTTTTCTTGAGCTTAGTTTGGCCACGAGTCGATCTAAAAATAACGCTTGCAGTACTCGCGCTCAACTGCTATAGCTCTTCTTTTTTGAAATTCGGTCTCGTGTTCTATTTTATTTCTTTGGCTATGCACAAACTTGATCTGCTCATTTATGTATGATTTATTTATGCAGCACAATCTTTATTTTATCTTCTCGGCTCAAATTTTGCTACTTAATGATCAACGAGTGGACTAGGACGCGAGAGCTCATGGCGCACTGTAGAGGAGGCCCTGGAATTGACTTGCATATTACCGGTTAATTTGATATGGAAGATAGCCGTCTTAGAAGCTCTATTCGGTACAAGTAACGCAGGATTTGAATAGGAGGAAGTATAAAATTGCCGGTGTCTAGTCAGAAATGGCAAGTTGATCGTCAAAACACTGCCTGGATGTGACGGGAATGCTTCAGTAATGTGTTCATATCGCCTTACGTGGCTAATTTGTGACTCCGCGTCTAGTGTTTGGGCATACACTGCGAGATAACTTAGCCTCACCTGAAGCACGTCTAAGCATTTCATTGCGTCACCACACTAGCTTTTTTCATCATTGTTTACATAAAGGACAAGGTGGCACAACGGAGCATCTAAATTTGAATCTAACGTTCTGGTGATTGTGTGCACCCGCTCGTCTTATGAAATCTTTTTTTTGCTACCACATTCTATTCAATAGAAAATTATGACGGTGTTCTGTGTCCGTTAGTTGCAGTGGACTGAAAGAATTGAGGTAGCGCGATACTAATGTCGGACGGCTGACTTAAGCATACTTGGTTAGTTTATTGGGACCACGTGCTCATTATCTGGCTTGAAACGACAGCTGTTTTCAGTTATCAAGATTGCGTGGCGGAGGATCTTTGATACAAATCCCTTTCCTGCATAGGACTAGTGTGCCCTCAGAGTTTCTCTTCGAATGCCGTTTTGAAGGACACCTCAACTGCCAATGTAGATTTAATTTGGACTACTCTTAGTTAGGTAATGAATTCAGTGTGGTCAACTTGCTTTGTCTCGGACTTTTCATCAAAGTGGCGCGCCCACGCTGGTTCTTACGTGGAGAGTCGAAGTGTCACATGACGAATCATAACCTTCGTAAAGCTTCAATCCTAAACTTATAATCCCTTTTGGAGAATTGATATACCCTCCTATTTGCCTCGCGATCATGGCAAATCATAGCTCATATTCTACGCCTACATAGCTTCAGCATCGCGCTCGGCGCTGATGCGCATCAAACCTGTGGTATCTTCCTGCGTTCTTTCTGTTACATCAGAGAGACTTGCGCCTTTCTTCGGCGGCTTCACTATCGAAGTTTCATTCGTAAGGTCCACAACGCGATCGATGAAAATCACTGGTCAACGAAGGGCTTTGCTGTTTTATCGGGGAAACGAGTTGATACTCTGTGTGTGTTCAGTGACTTTACTGGGATGTATCTTATTTTTATTCTTAGTCATGCAAGTATTCGAGGTTGATGAATTAAAAGTGTTGGTACCATGACGTATAGTTTTCTATATTCTTGCCTTCCTTAATTTGATGATACTTCTGCTAAGCTTCCAAAACTTCTAGGCAATTGAGATTTCACAATGGGAATGTAACCTTAAAAGACTTTCTAAGAGCATTATTATCTCTTGTGTCAACGATGTTTTTTTTAGCATTCAATCAATTGACGCAGTATGAGCATTAAGTGAGGTATAGTAGTTCAAGTCCCAAATTGGGGCGGGAAAACTATTCGCTTGATATTCCATTTGGAATCATCATGTCTCCGCTCAGCAGATCGGTTGCTCATTGGCGCTCTTCTTTCATTATCTCCTGTAACCTGACGCATCTACGAATGCGTCGCCCTTTATATTCTACAATTGTATGGGTCCTGCACATTGGGACTGCCTGTCTTCTCTGCTGAACCAAAAACTCTCGTCTTGAGAGTTGACTACAGCATCTTCACAGGTTATCTTTAAGAAATTTGCAAATATTCTAATTATTATTTATCCCTTTTTATGTTGATTATATGTGTATGTATTATTTTGTAATTATTTTGTATGTAGACATGCGAGTGGTCCACCCGTGCCTCGATGATCCAACTATGGCTCCTCATTCCTGCCTGACGCTCACACACTGCATTGCTGTCCCTGCTTCAATATGCAAGCTCCTCTCGTCTTACAACAATCCTCAATACTTTATGCTTATTGTCATGCATTGATGTAGGAATCACGCAATTACGAGAGTTGCCATTGTTATGGTTATGTGAACTCGTAAGGAGCAGTAGATGGAATGTTGGAGACACGCAATGCAGGCAGTGAGAGCTTGAGCAGACCTCGCTTGTTTTAAACCGATCGAGTGCTCCTCTCGCCCTGATTCGAACTCGGAATCTCATAGAACAGCCATCTACCTCTCCGCCTGCCATCTTAGGAGAGGTGTTAGGGCTCAGGGCTGTTCTATGTGGATCTGGTATCTTCTATGATGGGCATCTTGGGGGGAGCGGGAGTGGGAGCTTCAAGCGCTACTTAGCAATTCTTTCGCTATTTCAATGCTAACTTGTTCTCGAGGTGGCACAATAAAAATTATGTTTTCACTAAACACCTACGTCTCGGTCGACGTGCTTCAAAACATGCCATTCTCTTCTGCCGCGATCATATCATGATGCTGAGCGCTGTGCAACGGTGTTAACGATGTAGCGTTTCGGTTCTGTCGCCTTGAGAGCAGGATAGCATGCGCTCGGGTCATCGTCACACGGCTATCATGTCAAATGGACTTCTCTCATGTCTTCATGTCCAAACTTTCTGCAAACAATAATGGTAGTATGGTTTCTCAGCCAGAAAGCTGGAAAGAGAAATGGTATAAATAGTAGTCATTTCGGACCCATATGCGGGAGTGTCAAGTGTCGATGGTAGCATTATTATACCTTTAAATAAATAATTCCTGTATTTGTATAAAGCAAACATAAGAGCCAAATGGAAGCACTCCTCTGTTCATTGTAAAGCAAGAAGAGGCGACGTTAACGTTGGCTACTGCTGGCGAGCAACCCGCGCCAGGCTGATGGAGAGCTGCTGGTAGCGTCTCTTGGAGACCTTCAGTGGTAGCCGTTTTCCATCAGAACGGCTCAAGTTGTTCTAGAGCAGCCATACACCTTTGTACACCCTACCCCAATCTTTTAACATAACTATTTAGTAATGAAGTAAACTTTTAAAAAACAGACAAACCCAAATTGTTACTTTACATGCAAGTGAACAACATGCTGTAACTGTTTTGAAGCAGTACGACTTTCATTATTTAAGAATGATCTTTCTATTGCCTGATCATAGACTGATCAGAGTATGAAGATGTTGCGTGTGGTGCAGTTCGGTGGGTGGGGCGTTCGTGTGATTGCTTGATCATTGATGAAGCGTTCGGGCAGGCTGACGACACCTATACGGCGTCATCAGTCGTCTCTGTTCGCATCGATCGCTCTTTCATCCACCCTTTTTCAATTGATTCCAACTCCGGTTGTAGCTTCTACCAAGTCTTGTTTGTGAAATTGTCATGTAAGTAATTATCTGACTTGTCCAATAAAGCTATTTGTCTTTACACAGTGCCTTTGTTTTCTTTCCTTCACCTTATTCTAAGCTTCAGCTATACATATAAGTTGTCCAAGATGTTGATGAACCCATGACATTGATGGGAAGATTGATTTCAAAAAAGGAAAGAAACCCAAAACTGCTGTGCATAAATCTTTATAGAGCACAATTTACTTTGGTAAGCACGAAAATTGACCCGACTTTACGTAATTAACTAGTAACAATACAAATAATCTTACAATATAAGGTGCACGTCGAACAAATTCGGCTATTGAATGTCTTACAGAGTAGTTTATTTTTTCATGGACACTATTAACAAATCGGATGATATTACAGCCTGCTGAAACTAATTGTTCAACACAATTTTTACACGTCTAAAACCTTGCGGTGCTCACTGAAACAATTCGCAACAATTTTATCGGAATGAGCAGGCACCACGAGGCGATTTATTTTCCAGAAAAAAAAATAGACGGGGAAACTTTTTTCCCCGTAATAAAGGTATGAACCAAAACGATTCGCGTTTCCGGGACTTGCGTAACGGTTATTAATAAATGATACTACTTATTAAACGAGACGTGACGTATCGTGACGAGGTAAGTCTTGAATATTCAAGGCAAAACAAGATATTTCGTTACGACATTTCGAAGGCGAGGATTAAGGAGAACCTAGTTCAGCCCTTGATTATTCATGGGCAGTTGCAAGTTAAGGCTGATTTGGCTGCTAAACCCAATGTGGTAATTCAATTAGTGGACAGACTTGGTAATTTATGACTGAATATTGAGTAAATATTTTTGCTGTCAAGACTACAAGCGACTGACAGGACCGAACGAGTTCAGGCGGGTAATGGCGAATAGGTGACGCACTGTCTATTGGTCAGCCGCTTAGTAGAGTGAAATATTCCCTCTGCACCTTTGGTTCCCGGTAAAATGCCAGGAATCAATTGCGGTATCTATGAATTTTTGAGGAGTAAATAACAGAATAGCATTGACATATATAAGCCAGACCAATAGTCGGTGCGAACTTGGTGGAAACTATTTCAGGGTCATCAGGCATACGCAGACAACTACTTTGTGCCCACACTATTGAGTTCAAAGGCTGGAGAGACATAAAGCCGGTCAGAACAAAAACTCGGATCCACCATTAGATGAACGTGAGAACACTTACAATGAAAATTGCATCATAATGGCTAAGCTCCCATTAGAATAGGAAGTGGATACGTCTTAAATTATTATGTGGATAAAGCAAAACCAACGTTACGTTGTTCAACATCTACCAGTTGAACACTCGAGCAGATAATCGAAGGATGTCTTTAGCACCAACACCAGCTGTAGCTCTGAAGCTGTTTGTTTGACCGCTTGGTCATTCAATTACAGACCAAAGATGATTTAACCTGCGATTCAAATCAAGGTTTGACCCGTCGGGCGGCTTCAAATAAGCTGCAACGTGAGGTTGTTATCAGAGACATACTTGCGACATTCGGCAAATTCATCTTCATCAATTTGCCAGGACTGGATGGCAAGATGCTGCAACTCAGGCAAACTCGACAATATCAAGTAGAAGCTCGGTAGCGTCAGGTTTATCTAGAATAGAAGAGAAAACAAGGATATTAGTGACCAAACGTAACATTGCACTCGCTGCAGCGTTAAATCTTATTGAATTTGTAACTCTCTAAACAAGTCCTGTGCGTTTAGACAGCCTTAACAATATCTAAGTATGAACATCTTCTTAATTATAATTTTTCGAATAAATTTCAAGATCAGAAGTATCCCGCATTACAACCTAAAGGACCATCGTTGGAAGCCCAGGACTGAAATAAGGTAGCAGATAAAAGTCAAATTGTCAATTGATGACTTTGAATGCAGGAGTTGAGGTTTATGTGCCCTTGCATCAGATCTCACTCTTAACGATCTTATAATTTCTTACGCGCAAATTCTATGAATAAAAGTTATCGTCGTTCACCAATACTACTGTCTATGTCATTAACATTGCCAAATCGCTTATGTCGTCGGCTTTCCTAAAAAATTATCTATTTTGTAAACAAAACTGAGCCACGACTTTTTAGCATAATTGAAAACCCTTCTAGGTTATTACGTGGCAATCAAACAATAATTCTGACAGTATTATACTGTCTTTTGTTGCCATAAGCGGAAAGTCAAGTGCAGTAGCTGCTGAGTGGCAACGGTTGGTCGTTAAGATTATGTTATGTTTCATTGACGGTTGGTCGTTAAGAACAACGCGTATTTATACAAGTCCACGGACTCACGGGCACGTCTGAAGTGAGGTTTAGTCTGCGTACGGAACTCAAGGCGCCGCTGTTGAGTAACTTGGGCAGGTACGAGTCCGTAAGAAACGTCATTTCTGAGTTGATCCAAACAACTTCCAATTGACGGCAGTGAAGCAGGAAAGCTTCAAAACATTTCACTGAAATAGAAAAAATTATTACGTTTTTATATAGCTTTTAAGAATGTAAACTTGGCATAAATTCGAAGCGTCGTAGATTCAAGCAGCTAGCATTATCGTGCTTGAAGCATCCACAGTGGAGCAGCGACACTGAGTAGTAAATGAAAAAGCGTAAATTTTCACAATAGAATAATTATTATAGATAATTTGTGTCACAAAGACACCAGAGTGATTGAAGAGCAAGTTCGCATAAATATAACTTACGTAAATATAATTAGATGCATGACAAAATAAAAGAGACTATAAGGCTCAATTGGATGTCCCTACAACACACCAAATTATGAGACGCAGTGAAGCAGAAGATGTTTGCATCGAAAGAAAATGGAGGAAAATGTCCATGCTTATTAGAGTCTAATAGATATTTGAAAGAAGAAATGAGGCGTAATATCAACTTAATCGGCAAAATTCATCAATTAATAATAAGCAAGCTGGCTGAATTTTTAATCGTAATTAACCAAGCGAAGATATAAGTCATAGATCAACATTGCAGGATACGGCAAGCATTATTTCACTATTGCAGTAATCGTTGATACTCTACCAGCTCTTCACAGTACAAAGACGAAGACTTTCGAGTACAAACAAAAAATAGTTGCCACGATTTTAAAAAATGTTAGAAAATTTATGATGGGTACAGTTAAATTTTACTCTTACGTAAAATTTTTTCTAAAATTTTTTGTAAATTTACAAAATGTAAAATTGCAACAACAATGCCAACATATGATTTTGAAGCAATAATTGTATAATATGTACAGCAGTTCACCATTGATTTCTTCATCATAGACTTGCAAGAACAAGTTGCGTAGTTCCCTGAAGAGCTTCCCTGACGCGTTGCTGACGACGTGACCATCAGTGATGGCCTGAGTCGTGACCTGCAGCTGCTGTAAGGCGCGGCATCCTCAAAGAATGACAGAAAGCAAATTGCCAATTAGCTAAGGGTGAAATTTGAAATATATTCGACCAAACTTTCCATAAATTTAAATATTCCATTCCAATTTCAAATGGGAGTTGAATAAACACCAAAACGGGTAATTTTTCAATTTCAAATAATTAAGTTTGAAAAGTATTTGGATGGCATGGAAACGCCATTCTCAAAGCACACAGATTGTCAATCATACTAGTGAATGGTAATGTCGGGATGTGCTGATGCTTATTCTTCGTACGATGGCGTATGATGATAATAACAAAATCTGTGCTTTATTCACTTGCTGAGGTATGGATGCATGCGCTCTCAACTCTCACACTTGATGTGAAGCGACGTGAGCTGAGGTCCGATGTCAGCCCATGGCGGCTCGAGAAAGTCTTCCGTGACCTCAAGATCCAGCGAGCTGCGCAGCAGGTACAAATATAGATAAGAACTGTGGTAACAAATCAACTAGGGCGGTGCCATTAAAACTAGCTCAAGTACACATTGCAGCCCAAGTACACTTGCAGCCTAAGTACACGTAGCGGCACATGTCTCGTCTTTGGCAGGTCCAGCTTGAAAAGCGGTCAGCGATTAGCTGCGAAGTTATAAAACTATACCTATTTATGCTTGAACCGTTCCAGGAATTCAACGAAAACATGAAATCAAATTTTAATTCAACGACTTTTTAAGGTTATAAATACTGCTTTTATGTATGGAACGGACTACCTATTCATTATATAACATGTAGAGAACGGGATGTATATATACGCTACTATTCTCTGACCTTTTCGGGCTAGGCAAAAATGAATCAGCGATAAAATGTGGACAGAAAAATCTATTACTTTTGATACACAACGAAAACAATCAGAGCAAAATTTTTAGAGAAAAAAAAAAATAAAAAAAAAACGACTCGGGTAACCAGGAACAAAAATTGGAAGTACGAATACAGCAAGGGTTAATAACTTAATAGTAACTTCTGCAAAGATAATCATTTATAAATCTATAGGAACTCACTGCAGAGTTTTGGGCAGGTATCGCAGAGCGTCGAGGTCGGAGTTACGGAGACAGATCTGCAGGCTCTCGAGCTGCGGCATCGCACCAAACAGCCACTGAAGGGAGCGCATCGGGACGCTGTCGCTGCTCTAACAAACGTTGTAAATTATCACGGTGATTCTGGTGCATTTCACTGACATAACGAATTATTTTCAAGCTCAAACACTATTTAAAGTAAGAGTTAAGACCATATCCAGCTTCGTCTTAAGTAAGTATTAAAACGAAGCTGGCTCCTATTTCTAGCTGAAACACATCACAACTTATTCCAGCGATGATGGCTCAGCTCAGTTCAAGGATATAAAGAATCAAGTTTGAAGCATGTGAAAGCGTTTCAAGCGTTTACGAAAGCGTAATGCCGTATCGTGGATAGTCTGAGAGGTAATTGTTGCTGACTCCAAACACTCGAAATACTCTATACAGCAAGTATCTAAGAAAAGAATGTTCAGCACGATTCATCAGCTTGTGAAATGCCTGCAGAACACACCAAATATATACCTATACTTTATCCAGAGTTTATACTACAACGGTGAACTGAACATCCTTTTTCTGCACTAAGAACTGTTAAATTACATTTCAAACAATCATATTCCTGGCATATTTGGGAGCAATCAAAATAAAGAGAAAATCCAGCCCTTTCAGTGGAACCGTTTCAGAGGCTCTGCCCATTGTTAGGGTTGTACAGTCAACACGCGGCTCGACAGCTTTTCACGAAGCAAGGCAAGTACCTAATAGACAAATTATGGTATTGCCCAAGATGTATACTATTGTCTCGGCGGCCTAGATTTGTCTAGAGAAATTTTTCAACCAGTTTTGAAACTGTCTAACGACGTCGACGAAGAATATTGCTACTGTAATATAAGTAATATAAAAAAGTTTTTTTTCCTGTCTACCGCTGAGTTGTCGTATTAGCCTGCACGTGCAATACAACTAATAGTAATACATACAAAATATAAGAACGCAATAGCCTAGCAATACAAGATCAAAACGAGTCGAAAGTGGACGTTTTGAGATGTTCTGACACGTTTTAGCTTTCACTTGTCATAATAACCTCGTTTGATGTGGGTGCTTAAAAAAATGACATTACTTTGAGGCGTGGCCACTTAAATAATTTTCAATGTTAAACAATAAATTAGCGCAGCTCAACAAAGTATGCATGCGCATTGAGCAACGAACAGACTCGGGTGTGCGTTTATATGCACGTTCAGCTTTAGTATATGATTGCAGAATTTATTCATTTAGACAAGTTTGATTGAAGGCCAGAGAGTGAGTCTTCCTTATAATTTTCTCGCTTTTTTTTTCAATAAGTCGAAGTACATTTTCGAGGCCGCAAGCAAATTGAAAATCATGTTTCCGAATATAATTTTTCATATTTAAACGTTTATAAGTTATTACATTCATTATCAAATTACAAGAAACATTGAGTAATGAGATTAGGATCGATATAAGTTCAACAATCATTTGGATACTACTCACAAATTAGATGTGCATAAAAAAATACATTATATAAATAGGATAATGCTCGAAAATTGGAGAACCAAAATTATTCCGAAAACAGCCTCAAAGTTATAAAAAATCCATCAGTTTAAAGAATAATAGCTTGAGTCTTAAAAAGGACCTCAACTATCGCGCGTAGATTGGCAGCGGAGCATCGCATGACGATGCTTGTGAAGTCGTTCAGCACCGTGCTCGTGATGGTCTCGTGTGGGCCTCCATCAGCGGTCTAAGTACACGTGGCGGCCTAAGTACACGTAGCGGCCGAAGTACACGTAGCGGCCGAAATACACGTAGCGGCCGAAATACACGTGACGGCCTAAGTACACGTGGCGGCCTAAGTACACGTGGCGGCCTAAGTACACGTGGCGGCCTAAGTACTTCAGGGTCAGTCACTTTGTTCCCACCGTCCCATGGATGTTCCTATGGACATGGCCACCGTGCCACGTACCCAACGGGCAACGGCCAATACCAACACATCACCACTCTACCAAGCCCTTTAGTTTGCAACTTTGCATCAGTTTCTGAATTTGAACTAAAATATTATTGAACAGTGGAGCCACCAGAGTAGGAAATAAGCTGCATATAGGAGTTTAGTCAATAGAGGGATTCGGTGTCACCGTCACGGCGACCGGCGTCACGGGTGACGGTTGTAGACTTGTAGTCATGTAGTGACGGCTTGACCCTGACGTGCTGCATAACTTCTCGGCTCACGAATGGGCGAGCGTCTGCTACTGGCTACTGGCCTACTGCTAATTGCAGTTGCAGCTGCCAGCCTGCCGCCGCATTTACGGCCGGACTCGTGGCCGGTCTCACGACCAATCTCCAAATTCAATTTTCAAGTAATATCTCCCAAACTAATGAACGCAGATGATCAGATCTATGAAACTTGGAACATGTATTCATCAGAACCTAACGGTGATGTTTAGCTCGTATTTTTTCTAATTTCACCTTCATTCGTGAGTTACGCGTATATTGCGAAACAGGCCGAAATTTGCAGTGATCAAAGAAATTCTTCCAAACTCTTAGAAAAGAATAGAAGTCTCGGCGTTGAAGAAATAGGCCCATGGCCTGTTGCCGATTCTTGAACTTTTCGTGACTTGATTCACAAGGGATCGATCTCATAATGTCCTAAAAAATTGAGAAAACCAACAAGAAAATTATAAATTAATGTGACCCTCTGGTCTTCAATGAAACTTGTCTCAACAGTAAGCTTTGCACATCGTATGAACAAAATTCGACAAAGCATTAAGAGTCAACACATACGATTATTTTTGTACGGCACTGAATTCAATATAATACATCCCAAGCGCCTTTCTTCATATAATGGATAGGTAATCGCTACGATTCTATACATTTTATTGACTCCTGCCAAAATTTATCTCGTTTTTGATGGTGTAGGTAATATAAATATATTGGCCTAATTTCGCTGTAAAATTCGTTGTATTCATGTTCGTTTTAACGAGTGCACTATGAAGGTCTCCTAAATAATTATTTTAAAATATGTTTTCTTCTTTTGACACATTTTTTGCCATTCTCCACTTGACTCAAGGGTGACGCACGCATGAGATCTTAACACTCCGCTTCATAGTCCATGCGCCTCCCACGTCCATCCACTCCGCTACTATACTTCATAGTCATTCTTTCTCATTTGATGTTTATTATTGTAAACCAACTTACTAATAACTAAGTAAACTGTATAATAAAATAACTGAATTAGATAAGTAATGAAATAAGCTTTGAAAGGGACGAGTGAAGGACAGGTCATGACTCACGGAGTACTGACTGAGGTGCCTACGTATTGTCCTAAACTTATTGAAAAAAAATCAATAAAATTATAAATTGAACTCACTCTCTGGTCTTCAATCAAACTAGTCTCAATACTTAGCTTTGCACATTGAATGAACAAAATTCGACAAAAGCATTAAGTGGCAACATAAGCGATTATTTTTGTGTGGCAATAAATTCAACATAATACATCCCAAGCGTATTTCTTCTTATAATTGCCAATCCCAACGATTCTATGCATTTTATTGGCTCTTGCCAAAATTTATCTCACTCCACTTCATAGTTCATGCGACCATCCACTCCGCATTCCTCATAGTCATTCCTTCTCAGAGAATGTTTATTATTGTAAACCAATTAAGTTAAATAAACTTACTAATAACTAACTAAACTTTAAAAAAATTGAATCAGATTAAGTAATTAAATAAGCTTTGAAAGGGACGAGTGAAGGACAGGTCATGACTCACGGAGTACTGACTGAGGTGCCTGAAGGGGAAGGTGCGGTCGCTGCCGTGGAAGTTTGTGATGAGGATGACAAGAAGGTTATTAGCGTGGAGCTGCTCTAGGCACTTGCAGCGCTCCAGCACCCTCAGCACACCAGCGCTTGTAACCTGCATGGACGCAAACATCAACAAAAGGGACACTACTACTACTACTATAAAAAGCTAAGTACATGTAGCTTCATAAGTACCTGCCTAATTGTTGTTGGGCAGCTATGAATAAATTTAGCCATCCTATACTAATTGCAGCAGCATATGAACACATAGCGGTTTTAGTACATGTATCGGCCTAACAATGGTTATGCTGCTATGAATAAACAGTAGTTTAAACAAATTTTGCCAACCTACACTAATAGTAGCGGCGGCCACAGTACCTATCAGCATGTTTACCGTGCAAATATTTATTCAGGAACCGTTAATTTTGTGCCATTCGAGCGCACACTCTTCGAGTAGAAATGTTTGTGATCGCAAATTTCCCGCAGATGATAATTGCAAATATCATATCATAGTGATGTAAGCACTTAAGAATAGTTCTGTTGTGGCCTGTCGCCGATTCTAGTTCTTGCTTTGACTTGTCAACAGAAAATTTAGAATTTTGTCCTTTGACCGGATCTTTTCGAACTTGACGATAGTTTGAAATAGCTGCTAGACTTCTACTAGGTTCGGTATGGTGCTAGGCATTTCAAGTCTGAACATATATTTTCCATAGGTTTATCTAGTCTGTTCTTGAAGGCGTTCATACTCGGAGCGCCAACGATGTAATCAGGGAGGCGGTTCCACATGTCATTGACTCGAGGCGAGAAGAAATGTTGTCGCGTGGATGAGTTGCAGCGCAGTCTTTTAGTTTTTAGCCGTGGCCCCTGGTGTTGGTTCTCGTTTAAATTCTGGTAATCCTTCTGTTACCTTTTATAAACCATGAGTATACCTGTATATATCTATGAGGTCACCAACGCAAACGTCGATAACAGAGGCTTAGAAGCTTTATAATCTTTCTTCATGAGATTTGCCCTTTAAGCCTGGAATTTTTCTTCTTGCACGTCTTCGAACACACTCTACTAAAATTTTGTCCTTTTCAAGTTTCGGTGTCCACACGGTGTTTCCAAACTCTAGGTTCAGGCGCACGAAAGCGATAAACAGCAGCTTCGTTGCGTCGGCAACTAGGTACTCGTAAGAGCATTTGATCAGACCAAGATGCTCATTGGATTTATTAGCTTGCGCTTCACGATTCCTAGAAAATTCCATNCTGACCTGCGTGCAGTCCTCCTACTGACCTGCGTGCAGTCCTCCTACTGACCTGCGTGCAGTCCTCCTACTGACCTGCGTGCAGTCCTCCTACTGACCTGCGTGCAGTCCTCCTACTGACCTGCGTGCAGTCCTGCAGCTCCAGCACTGTCAGGTGTGGGCAGCCTTTGACGAGGGCCTCCACACCCACGTCGGTCACCTGACGGCAGGCACGAGATTAATGTAGGTGATGACACACAACAATGTCAGTGATGACAAACAACAATGAAGGCGCTGACACTCAACAATAAATGTGCCAATGCTTTTGAGAAGTAGCAGCCGCAAAGCTCTGGGTCATTGACGAAACTATGACTTGTGTGCAATTGTATACCAACACTTGCAAAAAATTATAAACGCGATTGCAATCGCATTATTTACAACCAACATCAACACCACCGCAATTCAGTCAATCACAAAACACGAGAAAAAGCAATGCTTGCATCGATAACAACGCCAATAACATCACACAAGTAATGAGGACTATGCAACTATTGCTGTTTGAGGGTACGGTCACTAACAACGGCAGCAGCCAATGATCTCAAGACGGATAATTCCAAGACTAAAATCCAAGAAAAGTGACTGTTTTTTCCTATAAAAAAATATCTCGATAGGCAAAATGAATATGAAAAAAAGTTTTTATATTTTTGTACTGGTACTACTGGTAAGATGTATGAAAATCACCCACCTGGGACAGCCCAAACTTTGCCACTCTGAGCCTTGGACACGAGGCGGCGACCACATCCAAGATTGCGTCAGTGCATTTGCCGGGAAGATGGAACTCTGTGAGGTGATGCATCTGTGACACCTGCAACATTATTAACAGAGTAAGGCCATGCAGTTGATGGTTATGATGCAGTTGATGGTTATGATGCATTTGATTAAGCAATCTGCAAAATTCCAACATTAGGTCTGAGTGAAGCAAATACACGCATCAGATGTAAATTTACATAACGGGAAACTTGATGAATATCTCCTTAACTCTAAAGAGGTTCTAAGGTTAGCACTGCTTGATACTCAGTATTTACTTTTTCAAATTATACAAGTTCCAACTCTCTCAGCCTAATACGAGGTAGGTACCATCAGCTTGAGCATTGCTTTAAACACTTCATTGGCTTAACAGAGCTTCTTTTAACGGCTATTTGATATATTCCCAATACAATCTAGAATGCAATTATGATGATCCCTATGATGAACATCAATCACTTGCCCCGTTTCATTCTAAAGTTCATGTATAAATTAAGCCAGAATATGCATACCGGTATGATATTCTCAAGTAAATGGTCATGCATCTTGGGCCCAAAATTGATAAATTAGTAGTATAAACATGCTCACCCTGGTGACAAGAAGCTGCCGTATCTGCGTATTGGCCATTGATGACATCCTGTGCATCGAAAAGAGGTTCTCCAAGTGCAACTGTAATACAGGCAATAGTTGATACATAGTTTGTAAGCTCTAATTAGGTTCAGATGCTTAATGAGTAATATGGTGAAGTTTAACTTATATTAGTGAGGAAGTTTCCAATTTGCACCAAACTTAAGAGCAATTACAATAAAAATTGAATGCAATTAATCAGAGAAGATTACTGGATATATAGGTATCATAAGGAAACAAAAATAAGGAAATTGGAGAATTAACACTGAAAATGAATAAAAAGTTAAGCAAACCCAATATAGGTACATATTCCACTGATATACATCAGTTCAATGTATTATATTCACTGATACTGTATTTACCATATCCGTGCATTGCTTACCTCACAAAACTTATGGATGCCCTAAGTTTACATAATAGCATTTGTGAAAGATGGACATTGATTCTCTGAGCAGTGATATACTAGTAGGTACCGCCATACCAGTATATATCAGTGCACTGATATATATATCACTGCTCAAAGAATCAGCTTCTATCTTTCACAAATGCTATTATGTAAAGTTTGGGCATCCAAAAAATTTTGATATGTTAGCAATGATTATAATTCAGGGAGATACCATATATGATTCAAGTACACTTTGCATGTGTACCAGTTCTCATCAACTATCCGTAATTGAAATTAAATATCAAGGCAAGTGCACACATGTCAGATTATTCAGATAATGCATGTAATAAACCTTGGAAAGCTTAGGCTGTAGAAGCAGCTGCAGTATACTTATCAGCCCCTTCATACGGTCTCTCCTGGCAACCTTGGAGGCGATGTGGTTTAGCATCTGCAGGATCAGTAAAATTAGTTCTGTTTCTGTTAGTGTTGGTTTCTTGCACATATGAAAGATAATTGAGGAATTTGTTTTCAAGTTAGTCACAAAAAGCAATGGGAATTTAGAAATCCATAAGAATTCAATCCTATATGCTTAGTATGCATCATGGCACTTAAGTAAGGAGCATTGAACCAGAGTTCCCAACAATGGAAACAAATGCTTTTTTACCTTAAACAAGCAATAATTCCTTATAATAGAAAATAATCTGTAAATTGACAATAAAATCTGGCACAATAAAAATTAGATTGTGAAACTGCAATGCAGGAAAATGGGGAAGTATTATTAATGGTCTTTTACCATAATGTCAAGCATATTTGTAGCATGAATTAAGCTAATTTTCTTATAAAATTGTACAAAAAGTCTCAATATTTTTACACAAACTAGACATTTCTAGTTAAAGTACAAAAATATCAGTTAAATTCTAAGCCCTTCACCTTTGGTATTATCCTGTCAAGTATTGTGATGGGCATGCATTTGACCCAAGCATCAACTGTCTGGAAGAGCTCTGCATCTTGGTAGCCACGGGTAGGCTGGTCATGGTTCCGCTGCACCAAGAACAATTACTAGCTTAGATATACACAGTTCAGTAGCAGTGATCAGCTATAAATAATGCGGCAAAATAAATTACGTAAAATGTTCTGTAAACAAAATATTGCAGAAAATAAGTATAATCAATAATCAATTACAGTATATTGTCTATAAATATATATAATATAATCACTGAAAATTAAATTGTAAGTAATGGCAAATTAAATCAATAGGCTAGTTTGTTTGGTAATAAATTGAATCAAGAATATGATTGGATTTGGAGAATTAGAAATTTCACTCCTTATCATTCCAGACAAAACATTAATATAAGAAGCTTTTATTTTAATTAAAGAGACAGCCAAAAAAACTATCTTTTAATAAAAGGCAGTAAAATCCTTTCATTCTAAAATACTGTTAATGGTAAGACAATAATTTAGTAGCAATAGTGCTCTTTCTCCACAAGTCTGAGTATTTCTACTCCAGTTACGCTCTGAGGTGATGTTGAAATGCTGATAAGTTCAATTAAGTTGTTGCTAACAACTTAACAAGCCATTGAACTTGAAGTCATTTCAATTTAATTAGCAAATAACGCTGGTCCTGTGGTCCAACTTAATTGGAACATCAATTTGCTTCAAATTAATATTTACATCAAGTATATAATGAACCACTTAGCCTATGGTATTGGTAAATATTCATCAGAAAATACTTACCCCAAAACTAAGTATCACATCAAAAATAAGTTCAAAGGAAAGATTTTCTAGAGTCTCAACAGGATTGCGCTTAGGCATAATTCAATCAGTGCTGAGCTTCCAATTCTGAGCAAAACTCCTCTGATTGGTGTATACTCACTATACTGTACCTATAATACTATAGACCTAGCAAGCAAGCAGTTCAGGATGAATGATTAATCATGTTCTCTGTGTTTCACATATGGAATATAATGGAAAAAGTCAAATAGNAAATACGGTCAGTGTAGCTGTCAGCTCACCTTCTTCAGAAGTGTGAAAGCTTTTGCCGGTGAAGGTTGTGTTTTACGATCGGTCCATAAAGAAGTGTTGATCGGTTCAAAATGACATAAGAACAGGTTCTTTTGAATAACCTATGGATTGGCACCATGATCATTGGTGTATAAATAACTCACTATACTGTACTTATAGGCTATAGGCCTAGCAAGCAAGCAGTTCAGGATGAATGATTAATCATGTTCTCTGTGTTTCACATATGGAATATAATGGAAAAAGTCAAATAGAAACAGGTCTAGACCGTCTAGTATACCTGAATAAGCCTGAATTAAGCACTTACTCCAGCATCGCCAAGTCACAGTACACTCTAGTGAACTAGATAGCAATCCTAAAGTCGCTCCTAAATTGAAGTTCTGCCTGAAAATTCCTCTTCCTGAAGACTGTACTTCCCCTGGCCCTGACCACAAGAGAGCCCACTGCTGACTGCCGACTGGGACTGCCCAGTGCCCACATCGCCCAGTATTCCAAGACATTAACAAACGTCAAACAGAGCCACTCCTAAAGCACTAACTTGATCTTGCAGAACGATTTTTAGTGTAATAGATTGGCCATTCTTGACAAGATTCTGACTCAGGGTCAGTCACTTTGTTCCCACCGTCCCATGGATGTTCCTATAATCCTATGCACATGGCCACGTTCCCAATGGCCCAACGGGCAACGGCCAACACCACCCAAGCCCTTAAAGCCTTAAGTTTGCAACTTTGCATCAGTTTCCGAGTTTGAACCAAAATATTATTGAACAGTGGAGCCACCAGAGTAGGAAAGAAGCTGCATATAGGATTTTAGTCATTAGAGGGATTCGGTGTCAGTGTCACCGTCACCGGCGTGACGTCACGGCGTCACCCGCGTCACTGGTGACTGTAGTGACCTGTCTCTTATACACATCTAGATGTGTATAAGAGACAGATGCCTAGTTTCTGGTCAGAATCGGCAAGGAGGCCGGGCGGTTAATCAAAGCAAAATTGAAGCAGTGAGTTGCGCGTTCGAGACCGCAACAAGCTGTGAATGTTCTGCGATGTTAAGAATCGGCGAGAGGCCTACGGCCTAATAAATGCTGAAACCGCTATATATAGATATAGGCGGAACGACCGGCTTTTCTACCGGTCGGTTTAACCAAGAGCCGTATACCGTTATACGTATAGCCGTATAACTCGCACACGAAGGCAAAACGAAAAAATCGTAACGAGCTAAACAGCACCGTTGCTGAGTTTAGGTATTTAAATACTAAATTTCGTTCAAATTTGTTCAGAAGTTATGAAAAAATTCTTGGTTACTGCGAATTTAAACACGTATTGCTGTTTAAATCACGAATGAAGTTGAAATGAAAAAAAAAAGAAAACTCTCGAATAGGGCACAATCGAAAAAATTTTCACGTGCTAAACATTACCGTTCGGTAGTTAGGATTGCAAATTCAAAATTTCGTTCGAATCTGTTCAGTAGTTTGGAAGAAATTACTTGATCACTGCGAATTCCGGCCCGTATTGCCATATAATTATAACAAAAAACAAACGATGGCAAAATTCAAACAATTTTCAAGAGCCTAACATTATCGTTAGATCTAATGAATACGTGTACTAAGTTTCATCGAGTTAAGTTCATTAGTTTGAGAGATATTCCTTGATCGTTGAATTTGTAAATTGGCCGCGAGACCGGCCGCGAGTCCGGCCGTTGATTTGACCGAGACGTAGACCCAGGAGAGGTTAAAAAAATATAACTCAGTACTCACTGCAGTGAGTGACAGAGAGAGCATTTTCTCGACGACGAAAACATGAAGTCACGGACGGACAGACAGACAGACGGACGGACAGACGGATATGGCGAGCACAATAGTGCATTTTTTCATAAATGAGAAAATGCGCTAAAAACAGATCTAGGTGACAAAACCATCGCTGGGAGTCATGAGCTGCACGTGTTGTGTACAAATCATCAAACAAACAAACGTTAAAACTTCTGACATCGACTTCGGACTACCGCCCTCTTAATAATAATAATAGCGGTTTCAGCGTTATTAGGCCGTAGGCCTGTCGCCGATTCTTAACATCGCAGAACATTCACAGCATTTTGCGGTCTCGAACTCGCAACTCACTGCTACAATTCTGCTATGCTTAACCGCCCGGCCTTCTTGCCGAATCTGACCAGAAACTGACGCACAGAGCTGGGGTCGAACCCGTGCCTCTCTGCGCCAATCTTGGTACTCTGAACTTTAACCACTGGGCCAAAAAGCTTTCTGTCTTCTTCCTTACCGCCCCCCAAAATCTTTCCATCGCCCCTAGGGAGGCGATATCGCCCGCTTTGGGAACCACTGCTCTAGTTGTAAAAGGTTATCCCATTATCCAATTTTACAAACCTCACTCGACGGCTTCTAACGACAAACGTACTGGCTCTGGCGGGCGCGAACGAGAAGATATCGGCACCTTATACGTTAAACTGTCCTCGTTTACTTTCAATATAGTTCGATTAAAAAAATATTAATAATTTGCTTCATATTTAGTCAAGCTAAATCCCCTTATTCTATTTCACATCTACGATTTTCAATCCCCGCCAAAAATAAATATAAATGAAAATAACACAAGGTTTAGTACGACGGGACATACATTTATAAACAGTGACACGATGACAGGTTCATAAGTGCAGGCGTAGCTAGCAGCTCTTTACGGCGGTACAACAAAGTGTCGCCTACTGAAATGCAGCATTAATTAAAGATACTCGATCGCGACGTCAGCTCGGAAAGTATAGTGAGTCTGGATTTCACTGCGCGCTATGAGGCATGACATTTATTAATTAATTCTCATTTCACTCACAATTAATTGACATCTTACTAATTGAGAGAGTTTCCTGTGAAATATTGTTAATGGTTTAATAAAAATTATACGTGATTAA